AGACAACTGGTTTAACATCCCTGACCTCCACTCACTGCTGAACGACACTTGTGCCAAGTCTCTGCAAAACAAAACACACCATCAGTTACTTACTTACTACATATTATAAATGCCCCAAAGTACTAATGACTATGTACCAAGCTTGAAATATATAATGGTTTTGGCAAGCTGCAAGGGGTGGGTGTGGGGTGTGGGGAGGTGTTGGGGGGTGTGGTGGGAGTAGGTGGTGTGATGTTATGGGTGGTGACGGCATTTTATATAGAGAGGGGTGAAGGAGATTAGGGGGGGGAAGGAAGAGAAGTTAGGAAATTGAAGAATTTAGAGTAGGTAAGAGAGGGCGGGCTGACTCTAGCTAAGCTAATAGTATGTTAGGTTGATCATGGGTTGTTATTGTCTGTTTGCACAGGTGCACCAGACATCTCCCACCCGTTCCATATATAGGTGTTATACATATCATATTCCGCCTACCCACTGGCGGATGCTGGTTCAGGGAGGTTGTCTGGTCGCTCGGCCGCCGTGAGACGGGGGTGGTAACGGATTTTGGAGACGGTACTTTTTAAACCATGCATGGTTGTTGTCGTTATTCGGTGAGTTTTTGAAGGAGTTTCTGCCTGACGTTTTATATTTTGCCAGATTTCAAGGGTTGTGCAGCTGCTGCCGGGTTGATGATTTATTTTCTGGTTTTGCGTATTCGGCAGTGGTTTGGTGAAGGGTATTTTCACCATGACGATTTTAGGCTTATTTTGGGACAACCTGTAATTATAATACGGAGTGGTGCTCATAGCATGAAGAGGTATTGCTGGGCAAATTACATCGGTGTGATAAATGACGTCACCAGGCGATGCGCTAGCGACTTAAAGCGAGCATGGTTTTCTCAGCTTCTTGCTTTTTCCTTCCTGCTGTGGATATGGTGAGCAACCTGTCGTGATATATACAGAGGCCCAGGAGGGTGCTCTGCTTTGTATTTTATCGGGCATTATGGTTACTAATGGAGTTTTCTGCATGGGCGGTATCACTGGGAATGGGGACTGCTTGACGCATTGTTTTTTCGTACTATTTTGCCTTTTACTCTCGCCTGGTGTTGTCGGCCTGTAACGCCCGCGATCACGGGTAGCAGCAGCCTGGGGTGATGGGTCAGTGATGTTGGCGGTGGCGGCAGTGGCGTGGAGGCGCCCTGCGTTGTTGTTGCTGGTGGTGTGGAAGGTGCCAGGTGTTGTTCTTGGCAGTGTGGAGGTGTCAGGGTGTTGTTGCCGGCGGTGGTGTGGAGGCGCTGTGGGCGTTGCTGTTGCTGGCAGTGGCGTGATGGCCAGGGTGCTGTTGCCGGCAGTGGTGTGAGGGTGCCATGGGGTTGCCGGATGCTGGTAGTGGTGTGGGTGCGCTGGGTGTTGTCTTGTTGGTAGTGGTGCGGGGCGGTGCTGTGGTGTTGTTGTTGCTGGTAGTGGTGTGAGTGCGCTGTGGGTTGGTTGTTGCTGGTGTGTGAGTGCTGTTGGTGTGGTGGAGGTGCCTGGGTGTTGTTGTTGGTAGTGGTGTGAGGTGCGGGCGTTGTTGCTGGCAGTGGTGTGGAGGGTGCCAGGGGTTGTTGGTAGTGGGTGATGGTGCTGGGTGGGCGTTGTTGCTGGCAGTGGTGTGGAGGTGCTGTGGGTGCTGGTTGTTGCTGGTGGTGGTGGGGGGTGCCTGGGGCGTTGTTGCTGGCGAGTGGTGTGGGAGGTGCTGGGCGTTGGTGATGCTGGAGTAGTGAGTGGAGTGCGCTGTGGCGTTGTCTTGCTGGTAGTGGTGTGGCGGTGGCTGTGACGTTGTTGCTGGCAGTGGTGTGGAATGCGCTGGGGGCGCTGGTGCTGGTTGGTGCGGCGTGGATGCGGCTGTGGTGCTGTTGCTTGTGGTGCGGCGGCAAGGCCGTGGGTGTTGCTGTTGCTGGTAGTGGCGCGGAAGGTGCTGGTGTTCCGTTGGTAGTGGCGTGATGCGCTGGCGGCGTTGGTTGTTGTTGGCAGTGGTGGAGTGGCTGTGGGTGCTTGCTGGCAGGTGTGGAGGCGCTGTGAGTGCTGTTGCTGGGAGTGGTGTGGAGCTGTGGCGTTGGTGGTTGCTGGCAGTGGTGATGCGCCGTGGGTGCTTGTTGGGCAGTGGCGTGGATGCAGTGTGGGCGTGCTGCTGGTGGGGCGTGAGGTGCCGTGGGCGTTGCTGGTAGTGGTGAAGGTCAGGGTTGCTGTTGGTAGCGGTGAGGATGAGCTGTGGGCGTTGGCTGCTGGTGGGTGTTGTGGGGTGTGGGGGGGGGTGGGTTTTGGCGGAGTGGTGGTGAGTGGGCTGTGGGCGTTGGTTGGTTGCTGGCAGTGCTGGTGATGCGCTGCGGGGTGTTGTTGCTGGTTGGTAGTGGCGTGAAGCGTCAGGGCGTTGTTGCTGGTTGCTGGTAGTGCAGGTGCGCTGTGGGTGCTGGTTGCTGGCAGTGGTGCGATAGGCCGTGGGTGCTGTTGTTGCCGGCGGCGGGTGGATGGCTGTGGGTGCTGTTGCGGCGGTGTGATAAGGCCGTGGGCGGCTGTTGTCTGGGCAGTTTTGCGGAGGCGGTGTTGTTTGCTGGTAGAGTGTGATGCGCTGTGGGTGCTGGCTGCTTGCTGGCAGTGGTGATAAGGCCGGGGCGCATTGCTGCTGGTAGTGGTGAGGCCTGTGGGCGTTGTTTGCTGCTGGTAGTGGTGATGCGCCGTGGGTGTTGGTTGGTTGCTGGCAGTGGTGATGCGTCTGTGGTGCTTGCTGTTGCTGGTGCGGTGATGGGCAGGCGCTGTTGCTTGCTGCAGGCGTGATGCGCCGTGGGTTTTGCTGTTGCTGGCAGTGATGTGGTGTGCTGTGGGTGTTGTTGCTGCAGGCGTGAGCGGTATGCCTGGGCGTTGCTGTTGTTGGTGGTGTGGAGGCGCTGGTGCTGTTGCTGGTAGTGGTGTGGATGTGCTGTGGGGCGTTCTGCTGGCAGGGTGTGATGCGATGCGTGTTGTTGTTGCTGGTGCAACGTGTGGGAGGTGCCAGGGCGGTTGCTGCGGCGCGTGATGCGGGGAAGCCTGGGCGTTGGTGTTTGCTGGCAGTGGTGGTGCGGGTGCTGGTTGCTGGTAGTGGTGGATGCGCTGGTGGGGTAGCTGCTGGCAGTGGGATGCGCTGTGGTGTTGTTGTTGTTGGTAGTGGTGTGGGAGTGGTGGGCGTTGTTGTTGCTGGCGTGGTGTGATGCGCTGTGGGTGCTGTTGTTGCTGGTAGTGGTGTGGAGGTGCTGGTTGCGTTGATGTTGTTGGTAGTGGTGTGGAGGGTGCTGTGGGTGTTGTTGTTGCTGGTAGTGGTGTGATGCGCTGTGGGTGTTGGTTGTTGATGATAGTGGTGTGATGCGCTGTGGGTTTGTTGTTGCTGGTAGTGATGTGGAGTGGTGCCGTGGGTGTTGCTGCTGTGGCGCGGTGGAGTGGGCTGCCTGCGTTGGTGTTGCTTGCAGTGGTGAGTGCGCTGTGGGGCTGTTGCTGGCAGTGGTGGAGGTGCTGCGGGTGTTGTCTTTGCTGGTAGTGGTGTGATGCGACGTGTGCGCTTGTTGTTGCTGGCAATGGTGTGATGTGCCGTGGTGCTGGTTGTCAGGCGGAGTGGGGAGTCTGGGCGCTGGTGTTGGTTGGTAGTGGTGAGGTGCTGTGGGTGCTGTTTGCTGGCGTAGTGGTGTGATGTGCCTGGGCTGGTGCTGGTTGGCAGGTGTGATGCGCTGCGGGTGCTGGTTTGCTGGTAGTGGTGTGGGAGTGCTGTGGGTGTTGTTCTGGTTGGCAGTGGTGGGAGGCGAGCGTGGGTGTTGCTGTTGCTGGTAGTGGTGGGGAGCGCTGTGGGTGTTGTTGGCAGTAGTGTGAGCGCTGTGGTTGTTGCTTGCTGGCAGTGGTGTGGGAGGCGCTGTGGGTGTTGTTGCTGCTGGCAGTGTGGTGGGAGGTGCTGTGGTGCTGGTTGCTGCTGGTAGTGGCGTGATGCGCTGGTGGGTGTTGTTGTTGCTGGCAGTGCGTGTGGAGCTGGCTGTGGGTGTTGTTGTTGCAGGTAGTGGTGGGACGCCAGTGCTGTTGTTGTTGGCAGTGGTGGGGAGTGTGCTGTGGGTGCTGGTTGCTGGTGCAGTGGAGGTCCTGTGGGTGTTGGTCTGTCGGCAGTGGTGATAAGTGCCGTGGACGGTTGCTGTTGTCGGCAGTGGCGTGAAATGCGCCTGGTGGGTGCTGGTGTTGGTTGGCAGTCAGTGTGATAGGGGCTGTTGCTGTCGCAGTGGTGTGATGCGAGGGCGTTGCTGGTTGCTTTTGCTGGAAGCGGTGTGGGTAGCGCTGTGGGCGCTGGTAGTGGTGGGAGGTGCTGTTGGTGCTTGCTGTTGCTGGCGGCGGTGATGCGCTGTGGCGTTGGTTGCTGGTTGGCAGTGGTGTGAGTGCGCTGTGGGTGTTGTTGTTGCTGGTGGTGGGGAGTGCGCTGTGGGTGTTGGCTGCTGTTGGCAGTGGTGCGTGACGTGCCGTGGGCGTTCTTGGCGCAGTGGTGTGGGAAGGCCGTGGCGTTGTTGTTGCTGGTAGTGGTGTGATGCGCTGCGGCCATTGTTGTTGCTGGCAGTGGTGTGAATGCGCTGTGGGTGTTGTTGTTGTTAGGTGGTGTGGAGGTTCCAGGGGTGTTGTTGTTGCTGGCAGATGTTGGAAGGTGCTGTGGGCGTTGTTGCTGGTAGTGTGAGCGTAATGGTGGGCGCTGGTTGTTGCTGGTGCAGTGGTGTGAGGTTCTTGTGGGTGTTGTTGTTGCTGGTAGTGGTGTGAGGTCTCTGTGCGCTGTTGTTGCTGGTAGTGGTGAGGGTCTGGTGTGGGCGTTGTTGTTGCTGGCAGTGGCGTGGCGCCCGTGGGCGTTGCTGTTGCTGGAGATTTGTGGGCTGCGCCGGGGTATTGTTGTTGTTAGGAGTGTGAGTGCGCTGTGGGTGCTGCTGCTGCTGGCACTGGTGTGGAGCTGCGGGTGTGCTGGCTGTTGGTAGTGGTGTGGAAGGCTGTGGTTGTTGCTGTTGGCGGTGTGGAGGTGCCAGGGTGTTGTTGTTGCTGGTGGTGTGAATGAGTTGTGTGGGTGTTGCTGTTGCTGTAGTGGTGTGGAGGTGCTGTGGGTGTTGCTGTTGCTGGTCGGTGGAGGTTCTGTGGGTGTTGTTGTTGCTGGTAGTGGTGGAGGTTCCGGTGGCGTTGTTGTTGTTTGGCAGATCCAGGAATGCGCTGTGGTTTGTTATGGCAGGGAGTGTGATGCGCGGGGCGTCGGTGCTGTTGGCACCGGTGTGATGAGCTGTGGGTGCCTGTCGGCTGGTAGGTGGTGGAGGCTACTGTGGGTGATGTTGTTGCTGGTAGGCGTGAGGAGCCGTGAGTGCTGTTGTTGCTGATAGTGGTGGGTGCTGCGGGTGTTGTTGCTGTTGGCAGGTGAGTGCCGGGGCGCTGTTGTTGCTGGCAGTGGTGGAGTGCGCCTGCTGGTCTTGCTGGCGATGTGATGCGCTGTGGGTGCTGTTTTGTTGCTGGCAGTGGTGTGGAGTGCGCTGTGGGCGCTGTTGTTGTGGGCAGCGGTGGAGGCGCTGCGTGGGCGTTGGTTGCTGTTGGCAGTGGGTGATGCGCTGGTGATGCTGGTTGCTGGTAGTGGTGGATAAGCTGTGGCGCTGGTTCAGTTTGCGGGTAGCGTCAGGCGTGGTTGTTGGGGAAGCGGTGATGAGCTGTGGGTGCTGGTTGGCGTTTGGTGGTGTGGAAGTGCGCGTGGGCGTTTGGTGCTTGCTGGCATTGGCGGGGATGCGCCTGTGGGTGTTGCTGGCAGTGGTGTGAGCTGGTTGTGGGTGCTGTTGTCAGGGCAGTTTTGTGGAAGTGCGCCGGATATTGTTGTTGTTAGAGTGTGGAGCAGCTGTGGGTGCTGCTGTTCCGGTACCGGTGCGGGAGTGCGCTGTGGGTGTTGCTTGCTGCTGGTAGTGGTGTGGGGCGTCAGGCGTTGCTGTTGCTGGCAGTGGTGAGTGGGGTGCTGTGGGCGGTTGTTGTTGTTGTTGCGTGGCAGTGATGCGTTGTGGGGTGCTATTGTTGCTGGTAGTGGTGTGGATGGCTGGTGGGTGCTGATGTTGCTGGTAGTGGTGTGGGGAGCGCTGTGGGTGCTTGTTGCTGTGGGCAGCGGCGTGGAGCAGCTGTGGGCGTTGGTTGTTGCTGATAGTGGTGATGCGCTGTGTGGGTCTTTGCTGTTGCTGGCAGTGATGTGATGGCCTGGGCGTTGTTGCTGTGGCGTTGGCGTGATGGAAGTGCCTGCGTTGGTTGCTGCTGGTAGTGGTGTGGAGGCGCTGGGATGTTGTTGCTGGTAGTGGTGTGGAGGCCTGGGTGTTCTTTGTTGGTAGTGGTGTGGAGTGTGCGATGTGTGCGTTGGTGTTGCTGGTGAACGTGTGAGTGCGGGTGCTGGTTGTTGTTGGCAGTGTGACGCTGTGGCGTTGTTGTAGCAGTGTGGTACGCGCTGTGGTTGTTGTTGTTGGTAGTGGTAAGAGGGTGCCGTGGCGTTGGCTGCTGGTAGTGGTGTGGAGGTGCCAGGGCGTTGTTGCTGTTGGTAGTGGTGTGGAGGTGCCGGTGTTGCTGTTGTTGGCAGTGGTGGGAGCGCTGTGGGTGCTGGCTGTTGTTGCAGGTGGTGCGGGATGCTGTGGCGTTGTTGTTGCTGGCAGTGGTGTGAGTGCGCCGGGGCGTTGCTGCTGTTGTTGGCAGTCGTGATGGCGCCAGAACTTGTTGCTGGTTAGGGTGTGATGTGTCGGGGTGCTGCTGTTGTTGGTAGGTGGTGATGGGGTGCCGGAGGCGGTTGCTGCTGTTGGCACTGGTGCGAGCGCTGTGGGTGTTGCTGTTGCTGGTAGTGGCGTGATGCGCTGCGGGTGCTATTGATGCTGGTAGTGGTGCGAAGGCTGCAGAGCTGTTGTTGCTGACAGTGGTGCTGGAGGTGGTGTGGGGTGTTGCTGTTGCTGGTAGTGGTGTGATGCGCTGCGGGCGTTGCTGGTAGTGGTGTGGGAAGCGCTGTGGTTGTTTTGCTGGTGTGGTGTGGACGTGTGTGGGTGTTGCTGTTGTCGGTAGTGGTGTGAGGTGCCGTGACGTTGCTTGAGGCTGGCAGTGGTGTGGGAGGCGTGGCGTTGCTGTTGCAGTGGTGACGTGCTGTGGGTGTTGCTGGCAGTGGTGTGGTCGGCTGGTTTTGCTGGCAGTGCTGTGACGTGCTGTGGGTGTTGTTTTGCTGGCGGTGTGGAGGGGCTGGGTGGGTGTTGTTGGTAGTGATGTGATAAGTTGTGGGGTTTTTGCTTGGTTGGCAGGGTGTGGAGGGCTGTGGGTGTTGTTGGTAGTGGTGCGCGAAGTGGCTGTGGTTGTTGTTGGTAGTGGTGTGGAGTGCGCTGTGGGTGTTGTTGGTACTGGTAGTGGTGTGGCAGGGGCTGTGGGTGTTGTTGTTGCTGGTAGTGGTGTGGAGGTGCTGGTGTTGTTGTTGTTGGGAGTGGTGTGGGAGGTGCTGTGGGTGTTGTTGCTGCTGGTAGTGGTGTGGAGGTGCTCGGTGTTGTTGTTGCTGATAGTGAGCGGGAGATGCTTTGGGTGTTGCTGCTGGTCGGTGTGGAGGCGCTGTGAGTGTTGTTGTTGTTAGGTGGTGCAGAGAAATGCCGGGGTTCGGTTGTTGCAGTGGGGGAGGTGCCGGGTGTTGCTGGCAGTGATGTGATGCGCTGTGGGCATTGGTTGCTGCTGGCAGTGGTGTGGATGCCGGTGATGTTGTTGTTGTTAGTGGTGGTGAGGAAACGCTGTGGGTCGGTTGTTGGTAGTGGTGTGAGGTGCTGTGGGTGTTGTTGGTGGTGGTGTGGGAGTGCTGTGGTGCTGTTGTTGCTGGTAGTGGTGTGGAGGTGCCGGAGTGCTGTTGCTGTTAGTGGTGGTGCAGGAAAATGCTGTGGGTTTTGTTGTTGGTAGTGGTGCGTGGAGGTGCTGGTGGGTGCTGGTAGTGGTGTGGAGGTGCTGTGGGTGTTGTTGTTGTGGGTAGTGGTGTGGAGGGTGCCAGGGTGTTGCTGTTGCTGGTGGTGTGTGAGGTGCTGTGGGTGTTGTTGTTGCTGGGGAGTGGTGTGGAGGTGCTGTGGGCGTTGCTGTTGTTGGGCGGTGTGGAGGTGCCAGGGGCGTTGTTGCTGCTGGTAGTGAGGGAGGCGCCGTGGGCGCTGTTGCTGGTGGTGTGAGGTGATGGTGGGTGCTGGTTGTTGCTGGTGAGTGGTGTGAGGTGCTGTGGGTTCGTTGTTGCTGGCAGTGGTGTGATGCCTGTGCGCTGTTGCTGTTGGTAGTGGTGAGGTCTGGTGTGGGCGTTGTTGTTGCTGGCAGTGGTGTGGTGCCCGTGGGCGTTGCTGTTGCTGGAGTTTGTGGGGTGCGCCGGGGTGTTGTTGTTGGTAGTAGTGTGAGTGCGCTGTGGGTGCTGCTGCTGTTGGCAGTGGTGTGGAGCTGCGGGTGTGCTAGGCTGCTGGTAGTGGTGTGGAAGGCTGTGGTTGTTGCTGTTGGTGGTGTGGAGGTGCCGGGGTGTTGTTGTTGCTGGTGGTGTGGGAGGCGTGTGGGTGTTGTTGTTGTTGTAGTGGTGTGGAGGCGCTGTGGGTGTTGTTGTTGTTGGTGGTGGAGGTGCTGTGGGTGTTGTTGTTGTTGGTAGTGGTGGAAGTGCGGTGGCGTTGTTGTTGTTTGGCAGTGGGCGGTGGTTGTTGGCAGGGGTGTGAGCGGGCGTCGTTGCTGTTGGCAGTGGCGTGGTAGCTGTGGGTGTTGTTGGCTGGTAGGTGGTGGAGGTGCTGTGGGTGTTGTTGTTGTTGGCAGGCGTGAGGTGCCGTGAGTGCTGTTGTTGCTGGTAGTGGAGGGTGCTGTGGGTGTTGTTGCTGTTGGTAGGTGTGTGGAGGGGTGCTGCTGTTGCTGGCAGTGGTGGAGTGCGGTGTGGTTTGCTGGTGGTGTGATGCGCTGTGGGTGTGTTTTGTTGCTGGTAGTGGTGTGGAGTGCGCTGTGGGCGTTGTTGCTGTTGGTAGTGGTGAAGAGGCGCTGCGTGGGCGCTGGTTGCTGCTGGTAGTGGTGATGCGCCGGTGCGCTGGTTGCTGGCAGTGGTGGATGCGCTGTGGCGCTGGTTGCGTTTGCTGGCAGCGTGAGGCGTCATTGTTGGGGAAGTGGTGATGCGCCTGTGGGTGCTGGTTGGTGTTTGGTGGTGTGGAAGGTGCGCTGTGGGTGTTGTTGTTGCTGGCAGTGGCGGGGGATGCGTGTGGGCGTTGCTGGCAGTGGTGTGAGTGGTTGTGGGTGCTGTTGTCAGGGCAGTGGTGTGGAGCTGCGCCGGTGTTGTTGCTGGTAGTGTGTGGAGCGCTGTGGGTGCTGGCTGTTGGTAGCGGTGTGGGAGTGCGATGTGGGTGTTGTTGCTGCTGGTAGTGGTGTGGGGCGTCAGGCGTTGCTGTTGCTGGCAGTGGTGTGGGGTGCTGCGGGCGGTTGTTGTTGTTGGTGGAGTGGTGTGATGCGTTGTGGGGTGCTGTGTTGCTGGTAGTGGTGTGAGGTGCTGGTGGGTGTGTTGTTGTTGGTAGTGGTGTGGAGCAGCTGTGGGTGCTTGTTGCTGGTAGTGGTGTGGAGGTGCTGTGGGCGTTGTTGTTGCTGGCAGTGGTGATGCGCTGTGGGGTCTTTGTGTTGCTGGCGGTGGGGGGCTGGGGCTGTTGGTGGGTTGGGTGTGAAGTGGTGTGTGGAGTTGCTGGTAGTGGTGTGGAGGCGCTGGTGTTGCTGTTGGTAGTGGTGTGGAGGCCTGGGCGTTCTTGTTGGTAGTGGTGTGGAGGTGCGGTGTGTGCGTTGGTGTTGCTGGTGACGTGTGAGTGCGGGTGCTGGTTGTTGTTGGCAGTGTGACGCTGTGGCGTTGTTGTGGCAGTGTGGTAGGTGCTGTGGTTGTTGTTGTTGGTAGTGGTGTGGGGGTGCTGTGGTGTTGTTGTTGGCAGTGGTGTGGAGGTGCCAGGGTGTTGTTGCTGCTGGTAGTGGTGTGGAGGTGCCAGGTGCTGCCGCTGGTGGTGTGGGAGGTGCTGTGGGCGTTGCTGTTGGCAGTGGTGTGAGGTGCTGTGGGCGTTCTTGCTGCTGGTTGTGGTGTGATGCTGTGGGTGTTGCTGCTGGTTAGGTGCGGGTGGTGATGTGCGCTGGGTTATTGCTGGTAGTGGTGTGATGAGCTGTGGGTGTTGTTGTTGTTGGTAGTGGTGCGGGAGGTGGTGTGGGTGTTGCTGGTAGTGGTGTGATGTTCTGTGGGTGTTGCTGGTGGTGTGGTAAGTGCTTTGTTGTTGGTAGTGGTGTGATAAGCTGTGAGCGTTGTTGTTGTTGGTAGTGGTTTGGGGGGGCGCTGTGGGTGTTGTTGGTAGTGGTGGGGGGGTGCTGTGGTGTTGTTGGTAGTGGTGTGGAGGTGCTTTGGGTGTTGTGTTGTTGGTAAAAATAATAATAATAATAATAATAATAATAAACGGTTTAATGAAAGTTTGCAGCTCAATGAAAAATATACATTGACATAAATGACTTATTACATACATTGGTGGTTTAACAAAGCTTATTAGAGAAAAGGTGAAGGAACATACAGTGAAAAATACAGATAATGTTACACACGTAGATCATGTGAGCTGAGGGGAACAGCAGTCACTAGTGTAGTACCCACACAGATGGCGCAGAGGGCACGTGGTAATTTCACAGATGGTGTATTCGGGCCTGATGATGTAGTACTCTCACAGATGGTTATGAGGGCCTGATGGTGTAGTAATTTCACAGATGGTGTATGAGAGGCCTGATGGTAAAGTATTCTCACAGATGGTGTTATGATGGGGGCACAATGGCGTAGTACCTCGATGGTGTGTGAGGCCTGATGGTGTAGTTGTTCTCACAGATGGTGTTCTGGATGGGCATCACATGGCGTAGTACCTCACAGATGGTGTGTGAGGCCTGATGGTGTAGCTTGCTTTCACAGATGGTGGTGATGGGGCATCACATGGGGTAGTACCACAGATGGTGTATGAGGGGCCTGATGTGGTGTAGTTTCCTTACAGATGAATGAGGGAGGTACTGGTGGTAGTACTGGCCACAGATGGTGTAAGAGAGGGCCTGATGTGTGTAGTAATTCACAGATGGTGTTATGAGGGGCATCACATGGCAGTAATTCTCCCAGATGGTGTTTGAACCACATGATGCTGTCGCAACCTGCTCACTGCGTGGTATCGTGCATCGGGGACACCACGTGATCTGTTGTCACAGTACTTCACCACCAAGTGGGTGAGGTGTGTTCCAGGCCTTCTATCGTGGAGTCTCAGGAAATTATCACTGGGTACCTGGGACCCATCGTGTGAAAGAAGCTTGGCTTGCACCACTGCCGAGTTGTTACTGATTGCACTGTTCACCACTGCTCACCACTATTTAACACTGGTTCCATTTTCCCAAATGAAATAGTAACTTGGCGAGAACTTGTTGATATTCCGGTGAGGAGGGTTCAGGGAGAGT